CTCGCCATCAAGTGACAGATGGGAAGCTCCAGTGCTGCCGTGTGCATGGCTTAATGTAAACATCAATCCACACAAATGCTTTAGTATTATGCTGACGCCACGGCCACACACAAAGACATAGCTCACTTCCTGCTAACCACGCTGTATACTTACACAAACTGCTACACACACACACACACACACTACATGTAATGATACCCACCCACAAATTACTACATACACTGCAACTCACAGTGTCCACACACACTGTCCACACACAAATTATTATGGGGAGCTGCGTCCAGTGCACCAAATGTAAGAAGTTAGACCTGACTAAAGAGTTTGACTAGGTACAATAGTGTGAGAGGGAGGGGGTCATTGAATACAGTGTTTGTGTTTGTGTAGTGGATGCAGTGTGTGTAGTGAATGCAGTGCTGTGTTTGTGTAGTGCATATAGTGTGTGCTTGGGGTGTTGAATAAGGGCTGTAAGAAGAGCAGTTTTTAAAATGGGGGGTGGGGGGTGAACTAGAAGAGAAACACAGGGGAAGGAGCTAAGATAAGAAGTGAACAACTGAAATGGGGGAGAGAAGAGGAGAAGAAGAGAGTGAAGAAGAAAGGGAACATAATTGGAGAACATGATTGAAAGGGGAGATTAGAGTGGAACAGGTGATGGATGGGGAAAGAAAAGAGGATAACATTTGTAAAGCAAGGGGACAGGAGAGTGGAACAGGTGATTTAAGGAGGAGAGAAGAAAAGAATAAATCAGGGATGAGAATAAAAAAAGATGGAATCAGATGAGATATAGGGAAAGAAGAGGGGAACAAGTGAGAAATGGGGGAAAGAAAAGGGGAAAGTGTGAGGGATGCTGGAGAAAAAAAAGAGAACAATTGTGTGAAGTATGGGGACAGAAGAGTGGAACAGGTGATTTAAGCAGGAGACAAAAGGGTACAAGTGATGGATGGAGATAAAGAAGATGGGAACAAATAAGAAATGGAGGAAAGAAGAGGGGAATAAGTGAGAAATGTAAACTTTACATATGAACTATGTATTTCAGAAGGTAGAATTCACCTGGCATCTGACACACTCATACTATTCAATCAGACTGCCAAATAACAAAGAGTACCGGAAACACCTGAACTCAATCATTAAATGGACACTATAGTCACCAAAACACTTTAACTTAATGAAGCAGTTATGGTGTATAGAACATGCCCCTGCAGCCTCACTGCTCAATCCTCTGCCATTTAGGAGTTAAATCACTTTGTTTATGAACCCTAGTCACACTTCCCTGCATGTGACTTGCACAGCCTTCCAAAACACTTCCTGTAAAGAGTCATCTAAAGTTTATCCTTTCTTTATTGCAAGTTCTGTTTAACTTAGATTTTCTTATCCCCTGCTATGTTGATAGCTTGTTAGACCCTGCAAGAGCCTCCTGTATGTGATTAAAGTTCAATTTACAGGTTTTTTTCATGCAGATTGTGTCATTCATAGCCAGGGACGGTGTGGCAATGGCTGCATAAACAGAAACAAAGTGATTTAACTCCTAAATGGCAGTGAATTGAGCAGTAAAACCTGAGAGGCATGATCTATACACTAAAACTGCTTCATTAAGCTAAAGTTGTTTAGGTGACTATAATGTTCCTTTAATAGCAGTGACCACACAGTTTTGGCAGTATGGGAGAATCACTGAGCATGCATGGCACATCAAACAGTCCCCATAAAAGTTGTATCATACTGTTCATTGTGCATGGCTGGTTGAATGTGTACTAATCAATCTGATCAATATAACAAAGCATAAGCTATGAGATGTTTCGTAATATTTATTGGTATCTACATAACGATACTAAAACTCATACCCGCTCCTTTTTTTTAAGGTTTGTTCTCTATATTGGAACAAATGCTGACATTTCTTGGCACCAAAGAGCTGACAAGCTGATAATGACTTCCTGATGAGGTAGCAACAGACTGCAGCACAGTCTCTAGTCTGGTTTGCAGCCTTTTCTTAGCAAAGAATGCAGTAACAGGTGAAGCGTCTGCTCAGGTTAATACGTACACTGTTATGTCAGTGGAAAATCCTCTGGTGAGAATTGCCTCATTCTTGTAAACGGGAGGAGGGAAGAGGGACATCTCCTGGTGCAGACTGTGTTTACTTGGTATTTGGCCAGTATCACTTCACAATGGGACGAGTTAAACGAGAAATCAATCACCACAGGAATAGATGATTAAATGTTTTTCTCCACAAGGGCTGAGCATTAATTTAATTTGTGTTATTGGGTATCTGCCAAACACTTCTGTCTCCATAGGCTACACACATCTGCCTGTGGCAGCCACTCATTGAATGCTAAACATGCTTTCTGACCTCTTCCAGCAAACATCTGCATGCAAAACAATAAACACCATAAGCAACGTAAAAATTATTGTGGAATTATTCAATAGGCACTGCGTGTTAAATTTCTCTATTTAATTAAAGGAAAACTATAGCTGTCTGCATGTATTCCTAAAACGCAATTGTGTTCTGCTAACTATTTTGGTGTCCAGCCCCGTCCCCGAGGGTTAAAAAGTAAGATTTACTCACCTGTTCACGCTTGCTGTGCCAGCCCCACCCTGCCAGTCCTGCCTCTTTGGCTGAGATAATAAATCTTGATCGTCGTTGCCAATCAAATGCTTCCCTTTAGTGGAGCATTGGGAGCCTAGTGCACATGCACAGAAAATCACTGCCTTGCACCAATTATTATCTCCTCATGGGGAGCATCTCCAGGTGGGGATGTTCATTATCTACATACAGAGGAACACTGGAGGTGTTTTGTCAGTTCTGCACAATTGCTATTTTAGTGAATAACTTCCAAGAATGTGGTGAACTCGGATGTAGAAAACATATGCTAAGGTTAGAATGCTTGCAATGAAGACTGGAGAAGATCTCCAAGTCCTCGGTTTTTTCGTCCAAGCCTAAATTCAAGTTTAATAGCAGCTCAACAGGGGGTTGGTGAAAAGATTCCAATTTCCTGTATCCTAATGCATCAGAAAGTCATGTGGGAATAGCCAGACAAAGGCAAAGCAGAAAGCTGGACTCTTACAGCAATCTTTGTATCTTTATATATGCTGTATATTTTTTGTAAATTTTATATTGTCTTTTATTATTATTTATAATGGAACAACAAATTCTATAGCACTATACAATAGGTGGACTAACAGACATACTTGTAACATGAGTAGGGTAAAGTGGAAAGGATGTATTTCAAGTAAGGAAAAAGTAGGTTACTAGCAGGGGAGGGCTGGCAGCCTTAGGCCTGGGGGGCAAAACCAGTCAAGTGGCCCATTGCACCACCAAATCAGTTCACCATCCATGCCCACCTTTTCCTGGTTTTATAACGAATATTGATGTTATGCTAATCAGTAGCTCTTTGCCATACCCGCTCCTTCACGGCTTTGACTTTCATTGTTGTCAGAGCGCAGGCTGAGAATCTCTGAGCCTGTGCGCTGACTCACTAACTGAGCGCTGGAACCACGAGGGAGAGGATATGATCTGACAACACCTACTGCTGGTGCGCACCAGTGGACCACCAGCGAATCGTTTAAATTGAATATGCTGGTGTACCCAACTTGTGAGCTGTGTTGGCCGCCGGGCACCTCTGTTGTCATGGCACCCTGGGTGACCGCACAGCTTGCACACCCCAACGGCTGGCCCTGCTGATGTTACTACTTAGACATCCCTCAATATTAATACAGACATCAGAGTAAACACCAATAAACTGTGGAAACAGAGCTGATCCCCCCCAAATTTATAAAGATTTGCTTTGTGGATTTGTTGTAAGATTAAATCATGCCTCCTCCTCTCTCTCTCTCCCATGCGCTGCTCTGTAGGCTGGGAGGAAGTAAAGAATTATCCCAGCACAGCACCACCTGTGGCTGCATAGGGAACAGCTGGTTAATGTAATGCTTGCAGGACGGCCAGCTGCCGCAGAACCTCTTTGTTCCCGTCTCTGCAAAGGGCTCCAGGCACTGCTTGTTGTGAATGTGAACCACTGTAAATTAGGGGCAGAGGGCACTTGCACTGCAGTAAAGATGGGTCTGGGCAGGAGGAGAGTGCTGTGCAATCAGTGCACTCCCCTCCTGTGGGTCACCAGTAGACTGGTGCACCTGCCCAGGATCAGAGCCGGTGCAAGGATTTTTGCCGCCCTAGACAAAATAAAAATTTGCCGCCCCCCCCATGTGACATCACAATGCCCCACCCATATGATCTGCCATATGAACTAACGCCAGTGCTGCACACAGTGTGTGTTTACATTAAAAATCCTGCAGGGACCGGCTATAGACACCAGAACCACTTAATTAAGCTATAGTGTCCCTTTAATGTGATGTAAATTCTAGATTAGTGTCACTAATAATATACTTGATTGCCTACTTACAACCAGATGAGGATGATGATGGGCTGCAGTTTGGCTCAACTGGTCTGGTGTAGAACAGGATCTCTGGAGGCTGTTTGCAACTGTGGTTACAAAATTCAATGTTCTGGGAGAATTGGAAGCAGCTCCATTTTTGAGGGGCCCCTTACACAGCTCAAGGTCTGGGCCCCAGGGCCTGACTGTGAGTATGTCCATAAGGCCCACTCATAAGTCCACTTATATGTTCCACTCACCCATGAGTTCGCTCACAGGGAGTGGAGTGTGTAGGGGATGTGTTATGTGTTATTGTAGAGGATCTAATATGTGTGCTTATGGTATGTTGTGTATAGGGATACCCAGGGCCGGACTGGGGATACAAAGCAGCCCTGGAAAAAAAATTTGTGCCAGCCCCATAAGTCACTGCGCCATATATTGTCGCGTGTAATATGTAAGGCTATGTCTTGCCATGACAGATGATTGAGTAATATATATATATTTATATATAAAAATACAAGAACCCTTGCACTCCAACTTATGAAAGACAGTACCTGGTGCTCTGGTCAGCTCGAATGTAAATAAAAAGGGATACCGGCACTCAAGGAATTTCAAAAGTTTACTTCTTAGTTGCATCTGAAATCGACGTTTCAGCTCCTCTCAGGGAGCTTTCATCAGGACAAAGACATCAATGTCTTTGTCCTGTTGAAAGCTCCCTGAGAGGAGCTGAAACGTCGATTTCAGATGCAACTAAGAAGTAAACTTTTGAAATTCCTTGAGTGCCGGTATCCCTTTTTATTTATATTTATATATATGTATAGCTTTTTCTAATATAAAATATTGGTCCTTTCAGGGTAAAACGTTTAATTATACAGTAAGCATACTCACATGCAGACACAGGCAATTTCACTGACATCTCAATGACACACACAAGCTCATTGATACACAGCCTCATAGACAAACAATCTCACTGATATACATCAGCTCATTGACATAAAAACACAAGCTCACTCACTAGCAGGCACACGCATGCAAGCAAGCTCACTCACTAGCAGACGCACACACACAGCTTAATGTAGTGGTACTGGTGTCTATAGCATGTCCCTACAGGCTTTTCAGTGTAAACACTGACTTTTCAGAGAAAAGGTAGTGTTTACATTGCTTCAAAGTGACACTGCTAGTGACAGTCACTCAGACGGTCACTAGAGGTGCTTCCTGTGTTAGTGCACCTACATTCAGGGCCTCCACACTCTGTAGGTGCTGAACGTTCCCCATAGAGATACATTGATTCAATGCATCTCTATGAGGAGATGCTGATTGGAGTGGTGTTTTGCAGCCATTCCTATGGCAAAGCATTGGATTGGCTGAGATCATCAAGCTTGATGATCTCAGCTATAGAGGCAGGGCCAGTCGAGGGGAGACCAGCACGCTGCGTGGGGAAAAAAAAGGTGAGCAAAAACACTATTTTTAAACACACATATACCATGACAGATACACACCCTATGACAGATACACACCCCATGACAGATACACACCCCATGACAGACACACACACACACCATGACAGACCATGACACAGATAGACCCACACACCATGACACAGACAGGCACACATACCATGACACAGACAGACACACACCGCATGACGGACAGACACACACACACACACCCCATGACGGACAGACACACACACACCCCATGACGGACAGACAGATACACACCCCATGACGGACAGACAGACACACACACCATGACGGACAGACACACGCACACACCATGACACAGACAGACAGACACACACCATACAGACAGACCATACAGACAGACACACACTATACAGACACCATGACACAGACAGACAGACAGACACACACACCATAACAGACAGACAAACTCACACTGACACATTACTAATACCTGCCAGGGGGAGGTCTTCTGGTGGCCGCTGGGGGACTTGTACTGGCGGCCGCTGGGGGAGCTGCACTTGCTCTGCTCTCCCGCCCTCGCGCGCTGCTGAATGAGACCGGCGCCGGAATATGACGTCATATTCCGGCGCCGGTCTCATTCAGCTGCGCGCTGGGGAGCAGAGCCAGCGCAGCTACCCCAGCGGCCGCCAATACAAGTCCCCCAGCGGTTTGCCAGAAGACCTCCCCAGCGGCCTCCAGCAGACCCAGGTGTCTGCTGGCCCCAGGTGCCGATGGCCCACCGGGAAATTTCCCGGTATCCCGGTGGGCCAGTCCGGCCCTGGGGATACCAGTTTGTGTAAGTGATGCAGTGTGTTTGTGTGTAGTGGAAGCAGTGTGTATTTGTGTATAAGGGATGTATTGTGTGTTTCTGGTTGTGTGTAAGGGATGCATTGTGTGAATCTGTGTTTGTATGGATAAGGAATGCAAGGTGTGTGTCTGTATGTGTGTGCATTGAGTGTAAGAGATGCATTGTGTTTCTGTGTGTATGTAAGAAAAGCAGTGTGTGTGTTTGCATGTGTATGTAAGGGTTTGCATTGTGTGTTTCTATGTATGTGTGCAAAGGATGCATTGTCTTTGTGTGTAAGGGTTGCATTGTGTGTGTGTGTGTGTGTGTAATGGATGCATTGTGTGTTTCTCTGTGTGTAAGGGAAGCATGTTGTGTTTCTGTGTGTGTAGGGATGCATTGTGTGTTTCTGTGTATGTATAGGGATGCATTGTGTGTATGCGCGTAATGTGAAAGAGCTCCCTGTCTTGCCCCCTGTCCTATAGAGCTGTCCCTTCTGTTCCGTAGAGCTCTCCCCTGCCCCTTAGTGGCCTCTCCTCTCCCCCACCCTCCCCTAGCAGTCTCTTCTCACACTCACCCACCCTCCTTGTGCTCTTCTCATCCCCCCTCCACCCTCCCTGTGTTCTTCTCACTACCCCCTCCATGTTTTATCCTCACCCCCCTGTGTTCTTCTTACCCCCCCTCCTCCCTGTGTTCTTCTTACTTCCCCCTTGTTCTTCTTACTCCCCCACCTGTTCTTCTTACCCCCTTTTTCTTCTTTTCTGCCCCTTCTTCTTATTGCTCCCCCTTCTTCTTATTACTCCCTTCTTCTTATATTACCTCCCCTTCTTCTTATTACTCCCTCTTCTTTCTTACTTCCCCTTCTTCTTTCTTTCTTACCCCCTTTTTTTATCTTTCCTCCTCCTTCTCCTTCTTATTCCCCCTCTCCTTCTTCTTACTTCCCCCTTTCTTGCTCTTCTTTTACTCCTCTCTTCTTCTTCTTTCCCTCTTTTCTACTCCCCTTCTTCTTCTTCCCCTTTTCTTCCCCCCCCTTTCTTTCCCTTCCTCTTCTCTCATCCGCCTGGCCTGAGTGATAGGAAGGTGCAAACTCAGTGTGCACTTCCTGTCAGTCTGGCCGGGTACAGGAAACAGAAACTCCTGTTCCGCGCGGAGTTTCAGTTTCCAATACCCGGCCAGACTGACAGGAATTGCACACTCAGTGTGCATCTTCCTATCACACCGGCCGGGCACCGCGGACCGGAGAGGAGCTCGGCCACGCTACAGGGAAGGGAAGGGGAGGTGAGAAGCTGTGCTCAGGTGGCTGCAGCATTAGGACCGGCCCTGCAGCGGCCAGTTTTAAAAGGATTTGGGGCAGCCTGGGGGGCAATTGCCTCCCTGCCCCCTGGCCCAGCCTGCTCCTGGTTACTAGAATAGTTTGCAATGAAGGGTTAGTTTTTTTGCATGGCAAAGTTGCAGGAGAGGAAGCAGGGTGGGTTACCAAAGTGTGAGGAGTGCAAGCTATCAACAGATTAACTGATATGCTTTCCTAAAGAAGTGAGTTTTAATGATCTTTTGAAGGAACGGAGGCTGGGTGAGAGTCTAATAGGTATGGTGCAGCCCTAGAGAAGTCTTGAAGGTGAGTATCAGAGGTCAGAGTATGAACAGATTATCTTGGAGGTAAACAGTAATAGCAAGGTAGGGCAGTAGTTGCATGGGGAGTAAAGGTCAAAGTTGATCTTTTTTTTAAAATTGGCATGATGGTTGTGTGCATGAAGGTTGAAGTAAATATGCAGGAGGAGAGGGGGAGATTAAATATTTTAGTGAGGGGCAGAGCAAGAGAAGGAGAAAATGCGAGTGAGATGAGTGGGAATAGGTTCGAGGAAACAAGTGGTGATGCTGGAGGACCAAAGGAGAGCAAAAGACTCTTCTAGCAAAGCAGGTGTGACTGAGAAGAGAACAGAGGAAGGGAGGAGTTGGGGAAAGTATTTGTAGGGTTAGGAGAGAGATTAGAGAACTCTCCCCTGACCATTGTAATCTTCTTAGTGACATGAGTAGATTGGGTTTTTGGGAGAGCATGGTTATGAGGGGATTGATGTCGTTTTCCTTTGTGGAAGAAAGAGCCAAACTGTATGAGTGTAGCATAAATTTGTAGTGGAGGAAGTCCACTCCCCCTATCGTTAGGAATCACTTAGCTCTATCATAAGCAGAGTCCTCTTCAATTTTTTCTTGTCAAAGAACCATAATTGTTTTATATGTGTGTTTGTGATTTTACACTAGAATCTATTAAAAGCTATGTTTTATTTAAAACAAGATTTTTTTGGTTTTGGCTTCCACTACACTGGGTATACCCGGTATTTATCCCCTCTCTACCCTCCTGACTTAGTTAGCTTTTTTTGCAATTTTAAAGATTGTATGCCCTTGTAACATAAAGAAGCAGGTGTAGCGCTATCAGAGGGGGACAGCCAGATCTCAGTGAGTGTTAGTAGGGTGAGAGATTTTGAAAAAAAAGAGGTTGTATATAGCTGTAGATTTCAGTTTGCTGCAGACATAGGGGGAATTCCACAGCAGACACTGGTAGATGAGTAGAAATGACTGGCACTGGGATGAGGTTCATGCAGTTTCTGGCTTAGAGTGAGCAAAGGAGGTGAAGGGCCTTTACAGTGTCAATTACTTATTTTTTATTTTTCGAAAACAACACAAGTTTTACCAATTGACAGACTTATTCTTTTCAGGGCCCCCATATCTGTAGACCCAGTAGTAGTTGGAATGTTGTGTTATCTCTGCCAGCATGAAGACGTCCAGACTGGGGAGGCCATGGAGAGCACACTGTGTTTTGCCAAGAAGAAGTGTCAAGGAAACAAGGAGCCATATGGATGAATTGAGGATTAGAGACTTGGTACAGTGTGCGTCACCCTGTTTCTGATTCATACGTTTAATCCAAATTTATTCCTCTTATATGCACCCCTGCTGGTCTGGCACATCCAAATTTATTCCTCTTATATGCACCCCTGCTGGTCTGGTCCATGGGATCTTTGTCATACAGTAAGGAATTCCGTTACCCCTCCTAGTCTTACATCCCACATGCAGAAGACCATGAGTAAAGTAATGAAGTATAACTGAAGGAATTGAGTGTCCCTCTTCATGTCTGTTCTTTTGCTACAGGTGCACCTCTTGACAGCCAAGGTGAATGCAAACACCCTCTAAAACTGTTAAAAGCTTATTCACTTAAGTGAGAATTAAAAGTGAATTCAAAGAGAAAAAACTATTTTAGGCCTAAGTAGACAAACTGAAAGCAATAGCTGTTTTAGAGAAATTTTCCAATCGACTATTTTGCCTTAGATTTTAAATTCATTTTAAACTGACTTTGAATTCTCACTAGTGAATAACATTGTAAGTGTCAAGCCACCTTTAAATTCTACAGTATTAGCCAAATGCCAAGTTTCTCCTGTATCTGCACACATCAATTAAAGGCCCCAATGCCTTACGCCAAAGAGGGATTATTCACTAAATAGTGAGGCATGTTGTGTAACATTGCTTTTTTTTTCCAATGTCTCCTTTTTATTGGTATTTATAGGAAACAAGTACAGGCATTTTATTGGTATTTATAGGAAACAAGTACAGGCATAACTGAGGGTATGAGGAATACAGAAAGGAAGAGGGGGGGGGGGGTGAAAGGTACCGCTCAGTCAACAAAAAAACAACAGTGTAATGTACATGGTTTAACATACATCGTATTACAATTAATACACGAGATGAGAGGTACTGTTACAATACACCAATCAATTTACCAGAAGCCAGTTAGACGGACCGCACCTATGGGTGAGTTGAGGTGGAGTCGGGGGTTTAGCGAAGTCGTTGGCACCGATAATGTCGGACTATCAGGGGAGATGATATCAATATTAACAATGCGGAGGGTCGTGGGGTCCTGCCCTCAGAGGTTTAAAGGTGTCGTAATACTACAACGAGGCCTGGGTGGGAATTATTTATTATTATTATTCTTTAATTTATTTATTTATTTATTATTATTTATTACTTTATCAGGGGAGGGAGCCGAGTGCCAGCTGTGCCATAGGAGAGTGTGTTTCGTCTCGCGACCATTCAGTCGGAATGCTAGACGTTCAAGTTCATAAGTCGATTGTACCCTATTGCGTACTTCCTGGATAGAGGGGGGGTCCGAACTTTTCCATCTGCTTGCAATACTGATTTTGGCTGCAAGGAGGATATGGCACACAACCACTTTGTGAGGAGATAGTAATAAACCAGTGTAGATATGAAGGAGGCAACACTCTGGGCGTGCGGGCAAATCTACCTGTGTGATTGATTTAGTCATGTCTCTAACTTGTTGCCAGAACGTCGTCAGTGTGGGGCAACCCCAGAATATGTGAAGCAATGTGCCCACCCCGCTCTTGCACCTCCAACATGTCGGTGACGTTGAATGATACATCTGGGCTAGGCGCGAGGGTACCAGGTACCATCTCATCAGTAGCTTACAGTAGGACTCCCAGTGGGATAGACTGTGAGATGCCGCTCGAGTGATTTGGATAAACTGTAGCCACATAGGGAGGGGAAATTGGGCTGTCAAGTCAGTTTCCCACTGGAGCATATACGGGTGTTTTAAACAACTGTCCGCATCGTTTAGTGCGTTGTAGCACAGAGATAGGGGTTTGGTAGCCTGCTGTCGGGAGAGGCAGTTCCTGCCAAAGGTCGTTAAGTGATCCGCCTCGCAGTGCCGTATCTTTGTAGTGGTAAGAATATGCTTGATGCGTAAGTATGTAAATATTTCCCTAGACGGCAGAGCGTATTCTGTTTGCAGCTCGGGGAATTGTTTAATGCCCTGCGGTGCGAATAATGAGCCCACCGAGGTGATCCCTTTATCTATCCAGATTTTCAGTGGGAGATCGCTGGTCAGGAAGTTCAATCGGGACAAGGGGGCGAAGAGGAGTGGGTGAGCTTGCCCCATCAAGTCTTTCGCCCATCTGCTCCATCCGGACAGCAGAAATTTAGAGTTGGTCAGACCTACCAAGGAAGGATTTGGGTGACCAAGTACGTTCCATAGATGGTGTGGGATCGTATCTGGGTGAAGGGTTGCATTTTCTAGGGGAAGCCATACTGGGGGGTTGGGGCGGGTAAGGACTTCCAGACCCTGGGCTAGTACAGATGCTTTGTAGTATGTTTTTATATCAGGTAAGCCTAGGCCTCCTTTATTAGGGGGGAGCCACGTGAGTCTACGAGCTATTCTCTGGGTTTTTTTCTTCCAGATGTGGGAGTTTAGAACGGATTGGAATTTCTTGAGGAGCGTATCAGGAAGCGCAATAGGGAGTGTGCGGAAGAGATACAGAATGTGCGGCAGTACCATCATTTTGATGGTCAGCACCCTTCCCATCCATGAGACCTCCAGTGCATTCCATTTGTC